AATTATCGTATGTTTTATTAGGAACTATGTATAAGTTAATCGACTGTATAAAGTTCAAATTTAAATTTTGTGTTACGAATATTTATTATAGCTAATTTGTTGTAACGATAGATGTGAACGGATATTGAAATGTTAACCACTTGTTATTGCAACACTGCACTTAATGACTCGTGGTTTAGTCAGGAATAAATGCGCGATAAAGTGTTGAAAAAATAGGCCTAACGCTGATTCGTGCGTTTATGATGAAGAATGACAGTGGACGTTGTGCAAGGACGTGCTAAAAATACACGCAGGACCCTTAGGCCTGATTATCACATGGTACATGGGGAATATATCCCCTGTACTTTCTCAAGGACGATTTTTGATAGAATACCCTCATGCATACCCCAGCTATAGAAACTGTTCCCCACACATTTGAAAAATGTTATATAAATTATAGAATATTATAAACCAATTATGAGATTCCGACCAAGAAATATTTCAAGACCATGGCCGTAGGGAACGGTAAGGCCAGTGAGGCCCTGACCACGTTGTGTGTATGCAGTATTTGTAATTAAAATGGGTCAAAATTAAATCTCGTACTATTCAATTTTCAAACGTTTTCTGGGGGCGTGCCACCAGACCCTCCTAGAAATGGAAATGTGGCAATGGTTTGACCACTCCAAAATTGCTTCCTGCAGCGATAAAGACAGTTTAGATTAGGATCTTGTATAAGCTAATACCAAAACACAATACAATTCAGTGTTTCTCCTTTTCTAACCTGAAAAACAACAACAACAAAATATCGGAGATCATTGGATATATGTTTAAAAATTACTAAATGAAGAAGTGATCGCTTTTAATTTGAGTTTACGAAAGTGTTAAACACAGCAGTTTTGAGCTACTAGCAACAACCCTAAACATTTGCGGAGCTTGAAGTAATTGAATTTAGATTATATTTTTTTGGTTTCTGAAGTAAAAATGATTTAATGGATTTAATATCCTCTAAAATAGTATTTTCTCTGTTCATTATAATTAGCTTGTGTGTAGAGTTTAAGCATAGATGGTGGAAAATTTTGAATTTTTTTTGGGGGCGACACCTATAATTGGGGGAGGGACTTTATTTGGTATGTTAACTGTGACCAATGAATTTGAAGTTGAAAAAGCAACTTTTCCTGATAATTATACAAAAGTCTCAATAGGTCTCATTCAAAGGGGCATTTCGCTACATGGTCAAAAGTTTGGGGGATGCACCGCCCAGTTCTGCCGTGTACGAGTTTTAAATAGATAAATGACTGACATTATCATCATAATTTAAGCTACAGTGTCTTAGCTGTCATCAGGCCAAATATTATTCTATAATTTGTCTAACACTTCATTTAAGGGATTAAGAATTTTTATTTTCTGATACTTTTTTATAAGGTAATATCAATACAAATTTGCACAAGTATGCCTCCGCAATTGTGGGGGCTGAAAAGGCCTGACAAACTTAAGAATAAGGGGAATAAATGTAGGGGGCCCATCTTTTGTAGTTACACCATTGATCAGTATACGTATTTGTTAGTACATCCTGACAATAGCTAGTGTACATTAGCTAAAATTTTGTAAACATCAAATGAAAATGCGGAGCTTAACTGTGTATTGTGTATTTATCAAAAATGATTTATCACTGGTTTGATTACATACTTCATTAATAAAAGTACAACTGGTGGAGATTACTCATTTATTGTGTACTGTGATGTATACACAGGATGTGTTATATGCCTTAGTGTTTGTTATGTGTGTGTGTGTGTATCTGTATCGGACATGTTACATGCCTTAGTGTATTTTGTACATGTTCAATTTGTTCGTAACTTGTTGAATATTTTACACCAAAATAACCATATTTTAATATTCTTCTGGAGATGTTCAGTCACAATATTTTTTCACAGACTATCCAGCATGAACAGGGTTCTCACTAGGGTCCGAATGAAAGAGTCCCAGTAAGATTTTCAAGAGTCCCATATGTAGAATTTAATAAACTCGGGGAAAAGGGAAGAAAGCACTTCAGTGTCAATAAAAAACTTTATTTGCAATGTTTATTTTCTGCAAGTGGAAAAGAGCATGTTAATGTTTAATGAAAAACTTCATTTACTATTTGCACTGCATGTTGTTTCCCTTTACGAGTGCAAGGTATTTTCATGATAATATAAAAAATAATTTTCTTCATCTGTAAATTTTCATATATCATTCGCATTACGCCTAAAACTTTCTAAATAAATATCACATGTTTTATGTTTTGTTTTTTTAGAAACAAATTATATTTTATCTGTTATTTTCTTTACCCTAACTCTATATGAGGTTGGTTGATTTGACCGACCTGGTAACCATCACAAAAATTAGGAAATAATTATAAATTTCCCTTATTTTCTTTCCGGAATGGCAGCAAATCGTAATAGAAAAATAATTGTTTATCCTAAGTAGCTTAAAGCTTGTAACAGTATACATCTATTTATATTTAAATTTTATTGTTTTATTGCCCTTTGAACCGGATCTAACTATTATTCGCGCCATATAAATTGCAAATCACGTGGCTAACGTGAAGGTCACATTACGGTATCGAATTACATAGCGCATGGACTACTCGCGAGTGTTACTTTTATAATAATAATATATGTATATATATATATATAGTATACACATGAAAAATAAGAAATAAAGTACCTACCTGGGTCTTTTTTGTTTTTGCTCTCGACTGTAAATGAAACATAACCCTACTTTTTTTATACTAATTGTACTGCTGCATTAAATAATACACCAAAGAACACAGAATAACAACATGTAAAAAGGTAACAATGTTCCAGAATTATCAACGTTTTTTGACTTTCTAACTGTTCGACAAAAGCTGTTGGAAATTCAGCTAAGCTCGTCGATGTGTTTCCCGTGGAAATAAAAGTTTAGACTGGAAGCGAAATAGACAATTTTCTGTACAGATAACAACATAATATAATACATCATTTGATAGATAAAAACTTTGGCTTTCTATTGGTTATGAATAATGTAGTCTTAAATGTCAGAGAGAACTATTGGTAAGTTATGAAAGAGAGGATATGAGAAATGGGCGTGGCAAGAGGGGTCTGATTTTCTAGTTTATTGCTCTGTAACTGAATAAGATTGAAGATTATGTAAAGTATGCTTTGCCTGAAGGATGACAACATTATAATGAGTAATTTATGTTAAATTTCATACTTCTTGGAGGGTGGTAAAAAATTGGAGAAGAGTGAAGACAGATAACGAACGTCACAGTTCTCATACAAGGGGAGTTTGAGAATTTTTTTAAAAATGTATCTTATAAAATTAAGAACTTAAAAGTTAGATAATACTAACCTTTGATTTGTTATCTACATTCAC